AAATAAAAGAACTTGCTCGTGGTCGGGATTATTCCGAGACCTAAACACAAAACTTCAAACTCGTGTACGAACGCCCAACTATTTGGGTGCAATTGAGTGAGAGCCACATTTAACGCCCGGAGCACCCCTTTCTCACACTCGGAAAGGGGCCACCTCACCTTAAGCTTTGAAATCAAGGTCATATAGCAAAATGTAAAACGCTCCGCAGAAGTTGTGCTAATGCACACGGGTTCCCTATCTACGCATGGTTCACAAACAACTACATTATCGCCGTTAGAGCACACCACATGATCCCTACAGAAACTATCAATGGCGTCCCAAGAACTTATCAAAGACTCACACTTTAATACATCATCCCTAACCCATTTATACAACTCCCCATAACTTACGGCGGCCATTGGTTAAATAATCCTAAATTAACCTACAACTTGAGGGTTTGCAAGAAAAAACTACCAGAGGATTAGAGTAGATACGCGTACCTAAGGGTTCTCACTCCAAACTTCACCCACTCTAAACACAGTCTCAGAACCACCGTGGACCACCGCAGGTTACGACGGAGAAGAAGGCCACCAGAGACAAAGAGGCGTGAAACAGAAGGCAAAAAGGAAATGTTAAGTTGCAAATGCAACCCATATTTATAGGGATGAGGGGCCGCGCGTGAAGAGTGAAACCCAAGGGTCACTACGCGAGTGGAAGTTGCAACTCCTGACCACAGGGGGTCCCACCTTTCCAACTTTATTAACAGACACTGCTACGTGGCAGTGTCATTACTCATCACCCTGCAAACGCCTGCGACGTAATAAATGTGTGTCCCTTCTTTGGTAAGTTTAAGAGACATCTCTTACCAGATTTCGAGGAGCCACGAATCGAGGTAATGAGTGCATAAATCCCCTCGGTCCGTCCTTTGGTCTAGCCAGGAAAGCGTGTTCGGCTAGAATCTAATTTGAGATCTCTATGGGGGACAGGTCGGCTATACCTAAGCCGACCCCTTGGTTGGCTAAGCCCTTCCGCCTAATAGGCTTAGCGCTGGAGGGCTAGTGTACGGTCTAGGCCAGAATCTGACCTAAGCTCTCTACGTGGGACAGGTCGGCTATACCTAAACTGACCCCCTTGTTGGCTAAGCCCTTCCACCTAATAGGCTCAGCGCTGGAGGGCTTGTGTACGGTCTAGGCCGAAATCCGACCTAAGCTCTCTACGTAGGACAGGTCGGCTATACCTAAGTCGACCCCCTGGTTGGCTAAGCCCTTCCGCCTAATAGGCTCAACGCTGGAGGGCTAGTGTACGGTCCAGGTCGGAATCCGACTTAGGTCCCCTACGTGGGACAAGTCAGCCATAGCTTGAGCCGACCCCCCCTCTCTAGAGTGTCACTCGGCTCGGCTTGTCCACATAGACCAGGTCGGTCACATGCCGATTCCACTCACATATAAGCAAGTACTCGACTAAGCCCCGATTGGCCCCCTCTGTGTGGGCCTGTTCGGTCAGAGGCCGATCTGGTATCCCATAAAGAAGCTGCCCGAGGGAAAGGAAAAAATCCTGCCTTTATTCGCTAAAGATCTCTCATATAGAAGAAAAACGGTAAAAAGGATCCCTATACTCTCGGGGCCCATGAGGCCCACGAAGAGGAAACTATAAAACCTAAAACCCTAGAGTTAAGATGGCAGATTACATTTTTGAATGCTCTGGCTCTAAAGCTTAACCTAGTAAAAAACCCTAGTCCACCCTTGGACCGGAACAATTTTAAAAAGTGAACACAAAAAAGTGTATTTTCTTTTTATATATTGTTATAGGTATATCAATAAAAAAGTCTTATGATACAATTCTTGGGATAAAATGCGGAGAAATAAGATTGAAAAAAATGTATGGTGTAGTAATATAATAATCAATTAAAACATAAGAAGACATTTAGTTTGAGAAAATATATTATATTTTCATTTTCATTTTTACTTTGTTTATTGTTTTCAAAAGATTCAAGATAAAATAGTACAAAAACAACTTTTATTGTTTCCTTTCATTTTTTTCACCTTTTTCTGTATTAATTTTTTTTTAAAAATAGCAAATATAGTGAAAACAAAAAAATAAAAACAGAAAGCATTCTTTTACAAACCTACCGGTCCTTAATTTTCTTTGCCCAATGATAATAATGCAATAGGAAAAAAATGGTAGAGCCTCAACTCTCATGCATGCATTGGAAACACATTTTCAATATAATGCTAATCATTACTTATTTATCATACATTTTTGGAGAGAAAACTGTTCATTGTGAATGAATGAATGGTTTTATATATTTAGTGGTTTTTTTTTATACCCTGTTCTCATATCACATAATAAATCATTAAGATTCCTCAGCTTTCATACCTATAACAGAAAAATACAAATGAAAATACAGGCAGAGCAATTAAAGAGAGAAAAGACTGAAATTTTAACAAGAGAAATATGCATTCCAGTTAGATATGTAGGGCATATAATTTGAGATGTAACGATCATCCAAATCATATTGCTTTAAACATTATCGAATAAGTCAACGTGGTGGCTTTGTACGTAGAACAATTTTCATACAATAAGCATTATTTTTTTAAACAAAAAATATTTGAATAATTAGGGATGTTAAAATCGATTTAATTGAGCAGATCGACTCCCATAGACCAAAACGTGTTAAATTGAATTTCCCTTTTCAACTTTTCAATTAATTAAAATGGTACACCCTGCCAATCCAATGAGATAAACCACTACAAAAAAAAATGTGTGATTTGTGGCGGTTATTTTGGTGGTTTATGGCGGTAAAAACCCGCCACAAATGGCATTACAAGCGTCATTAATAACTACCGGGTCCACAATAGCCAAAAACGGTTTGTAGCGTAGATTTTGTAAACGCTAGTTTTGGTCGCCAGAAAATTCAATCACTTTGTGGCAGTTTTAAAACGCTACAAAATGCATTTTAATGTTACTTGATTTACAGTTTGTGGCGGGTTAAAACCGCCACAAAAACAATCTAAAATTTGCTTGATACAAAATTTGTGACGGTTTTAAACCGCCACAAATGAATGAGAGTACTGAAATGGTACACGCACATAACTTCATCAAGTGCAAAAGTGATTTCATCCTATGAGAGAGAATATCAAAATCAATTTGACTAATGATTTACTTATCATATGCTCCAGAACAATGACAGTCATTTGCCCATAAGAAACCCACGCTTACAACAAATATCAGAGATTGAAGTGATTACAACTAGGACTATTAATCAGAAACTACACACATACAATATCAGTATTTATTTATTGAAAGACAGAGTATCACCTTCCCATATAAAGAAACAAAATTTCTTTGAATCCTCCAACTGAGACATCTCATCCAGGATACCACTGATGGTATTTATCAAATCCGGAGAATTATATGAGAAAGTTTCGTGTGTAAGTAACCATGACATGTAACAAGGATAAGCTTATTGCAATCAACACGACATATATCAAATCCAATATATATTAAAGGCTCATACAAACAATTAAAGTGCAACAATCAACATACCTTGCTTATATATATATATACCACAGAAGAATGCCATCTTTTGCAAGATCAAAAATATCATTTGTAGCTGGGTCCAATGGAAGATAATGCTTCAAAAATGGATCATCACCAAGGTAGTTGTTTATATGGGCAACATAGCAGGCTTTTTCTGATTCACTGATTGTGTGAAGAAGGGTGGTTATGGAATCCTTGAGGAATGATGAAGAGTGCCTCCTACCACCTTGTTCTGTTGTAGCTTGGGTTCGCAAATTCAAATATGCCTGCATGAAAAATCTAATTAATTGGAAGGTTACCTACATTAAGTAACATACATTATATTTAATATTATATAGCACATGATCTGTTTCATTTCTACAACTAATTTCAACGTAACATCCTTTATTATAACTTCACAACATGGAAAAGTTATCTAATCTAATAAAATTGAAAAAGAAAGAGTCAAAGATGCCAAACTACTAACCTTTATGAAGGCTTCAAAATCAATTTCATTGGTAATGTCAGTCCCTAATTCACCCAAGATCCCCCTAATCTCATCTTCCTTGTACATGTCTCTAAATGTGTTTAGCTTCGCCATTAAAGGTGGCAGATTCTCCATCTCCAGCATCACCAAAGCTATCAATATTCAGAAGAACTTTTCCACCACGTTTGCTTCTCCATGAAGGAATGTCAGAAAGATACATAACCTGGAACAACAATAACTTATTGCTTGAGTAAAGATATCACACAAAAAATGTAGTATCATAATATACAAACAACAAGATATAGATATGAAACACACCTTCAGAAAGTGTACAGCTAATTCAGCTTGAAAACCATCTCCCATCTGAACAAGTGCATGATCTGGTTTATTTCGCAGAAGTTTAATTCTCACAATATTCCCATAAACAGAGAACAAGTTGAATAGTTTATCCTCGTCAATTATCTTAAATAAGCAAATTTCAAGCTAAATGAGCTGAGATATGGAGAGAACTTTCTAGAAGAAGCTTAACAAAATGCTTACATCAGGATTCAGATTTGATACAAGAATTGGACACCTGTCATTTGTCCCAGTTATTCCAGGAGGCAAACCTCCCCCAAAGGCAGCTACAATGGCTGCAGAATTTCCCATCTATAATTGAAAAATAATAATAAATAAGTTGTTTTGTTTTTTCAAAAAGAAAGAAAGCATCTCCATTTCATGCATTTTTGTTGTCATTTTACTAAAAATTAAAAGATAAAATTATATGTTCATATTATCATGTCATTTATCTCAAAGTGGAAAGAGATCTCATAGTTCAAGAAGCCAAAACCCAACACACAAGCTCCTCCCCTCTCCCAATTAAACCCCAATTTGGAAAGAAAAACCAACTTTAAAGCGAAAGCCAGCTTTCAAAAGAAGAAAACGGGACAAACATTAGTACATTAAAAAATGATGATAACTTCTTATATTTAACTATACAAGAATATAATATCTAATTGGGACTTCAACTTGATGTGAAAAATACCCACCCGCGGAAATCCAGTTGGAAAGAGGAAAATAGGACAAACATTAGTACATTAACAAATGACAAAATATGACAAACAAACCAGACCAACCAAAGCAGTTTAAAATAGTTATCACATGTCCTGGCTCCAGAACCTTGAGCAGCATACATGTTTCCTCCATCACCATATCCAGGCTGCTTAACAATAGACAAAAGGAAAAGTATATATATTAGAATGAACTTCATAAATATTTGATTCATTAATAGATAAATAAAGAACCAACATAACATACTTGTGAAGGCCTGCCTTTCTACTCTGTAGGGAGATTTGGGTTTGTGAAGTCCCTATGAAAGATAAAATAAAGTCAACAATGTGATAAATAAGATGTCAAAAAGAGATTAACAAATGAACTATGGTTGGGATTTCATAGGCTATTCTATATATGGTACTTGCGCATCATTATTTAATTTCCATTTCATCCAATATAGTATACTGGAGTATCATAGACATGATATGGCTTATATATATATAATTGTGTATCTTTCCAAAACACTGATCCATCTTTAATCTCCAATTGACAATGGCTGAGCTAAAAGTAAAATTAAAACTGTCTTAACAGAATCATCAATAGCCTTAACAGAATATCAAAATATGGTTCCAAACCCTAAGCCCCAAACCATTTGTCCTTGTAATTAGCAAATCATCAATAGCCTTAACAGAATCAAAGTTTCCAACACAAAATACCTGTAGATTCATCATTTGAATGCCAGATTATCACAATCGACGAGCGAATCGAAGTAATAATCACAACGTTGCCTCTGAATACACCCAAGCTCGAACGCACAACTTTTCAAACTGAAATCGTCGAGTCTGCCGCTCTCCGACAACGAATCTATGTAACGTCTATGTGAATTGAATGCTCACGCTCATGGCAATAGCATGTAAAATTTTGAGCGAAAAAGATGAAAAAGAAGTTCGAACGTGCCTTTGATATTTTGAATTTAACTTAACATTTTTATTTTTATTCTTTTAACAATAATAAAAAATATTTTAATTGAATTGGTCACGTGGCTGCACGAAGAGCTAGCAACGACATAAATAGGTATTTTAAACATTGTGGCGGTTTTAAACTGCCGAAAATTAAAATATTTTGTGGCGGTTATAATAATCGCTAGAAATACAACACGTTTTGGTAGTTTATTGAAACCGCAAAAAAAACGCTACAAATTAATTAATTTTTTGTAGTGACGTTAGGTTAAGTTGAGTTGCATTGCCCTATTTATTTGATCGACTTATATTTTTGTTAACTTTTATATATTAACATTGGCTCATGGTATTTTATTAGTGATTTATTTCATTTATTAAGATTTATTTCGTTTATTAAGATTTATTTGTAATGGTATTTTATTGTGTATTTATTGTTGTTGATGAACTTATTTGTGGTTGTGGAGAAAAGAAAGACATTAAACAGGTGAGTTAAATAGTGTCAATCAAAAGTTCATATTTTTTTTGAAATAGTGAAGTAGTAACAAAATTGTAAGAATGCAGATAAACAAGTACGTCAGAAGAACACAAAATAATTTTATACTATGTCTCAACTATTGAGACTATATCCAATTCTTGATCAAATTTAATATAATTTCATTATCTTTTACCAAGATACAAGTATTCTTTTACAAATCATTTATGACTTAACCTAATTATTCTTTGACTTACCTCTTCAAGTAATTACCTAAGTATTCCTTGACACAAAGCCTCTTTAGGCTTCAAACACCCAAGTATTCTTTTACTAATAAGTCTCTCTAGGTTCAAAGAAATAGTTATTCTTTTACAAATAACAAACAAATATTTTTTTTACAGACAAATTTTTCCAAGCTCAACGCAATAACACTGAGTTAAAATTAGGTAAGATAATTATGTTAGTCGTCTTACTTTCAAGACGTGATATAACAATATTAAGTAGAAGACTTATACATAGAAAGAATGAATATACTTTTAAAATATGTGTTTCTCTTCTCTATGTTTTTTAACTCTTCAAGTTTCTTATCTAGGTGCTTCAATGAAGATAATCATTACAAATCCTTAAATGTCTCTCAAAGGCTTACTTAATATATCTTAAATTATCATTCCTTGTAGAGAAAAGTGTCTGTTAGTGCATTAATTACTTGCATTAAATGTATTTCACCAAATTGTTACTTTTTATCTGGTCAAGAAAGTTACTTATTACCTTTAAGGTACTAAACAGGTGAAGTCATGCATATGTTAGTTCAAAAATAACTTTTCTCTAAGGATTTTTGTCATTTAAGAGATTTGCTTGTCTTTTTCTGACATAAAACATGTATTCTTGTTCTTTTATCATCGTCGATACTAAGGAAGCTAATTTACTTCAATTTTTTAAGGAATCATGTACACAAAGACTGGTTTTAGTTATCATACATCTTAAATGATAGGTTAAAACCCTTATTTGGTCCCTTATAATATTTTTTTGTTTCAATTTAGTCCCACTTTAATTTTTGGTTTCAATTTGGTCCCTAATAATTTAAATTATTGCAATTTGGTACTTCCGTCCAAATGATTTAAACGGAGTTAACTGTTGGCCATGTGGATGCTAGGTGGATGCCACGTAGATTCCATGTAGATGGATGCCAAATTCCTCGAATACACCTGGAACTAGAATGACCCGTTCTGGTTACACTATTGGTGTGTAAATTTGGAATCTGGAATGGGCCGTTCTGAACCTAGAACGGCCCTTTCTAACACCAGAACGGGATGTTCTGGCTTCAGAACGGGACGTTCTGATTTTAGAACGGGACGTTTTGGTTTCAGAACGGCCTGTTCCAATTGCAAAATTAACACATGACATGTGCATGCAGAACGGGCTGTTCTGGTTTCAGAACGGACCGTTCTGGTTCCAGGTGTATTCGTGAAATTTGGCATCCACCTATGCATCTACGTGACATCCACGTGACCAACAGTTAACTCTGTTTAAATCATTTGGACGGAAGTCCCAAATTGAAATAATTTAAATTATTGGGTACCAAATTGAAACCAAAAATTAAAGTGGGACTAAATTGAAACAAAAAAAATATTATAAGGGACCAAATAAGGGTTTTAACCTAAATGATATGAATTCAAAATAAATGTCTTACAAATGAAGTGTTTCGTCTGTTAGACTTTTTTTTTTATCAAGATAACTAACTGATCATCTTAATGCATTTGTCTTATTAAATGATGTGAAAAACTTTTCTCTAGAAAAATGTCTATGTTTGTTATCACTAAAACTTATAATTTGAGGATCCAAGATCGTTTTTAGACCTAACAATAAACATATTAAGTACATGGTTTCCCATTGAACATTTGATTCATTACTACATTTTATAATATATTTTTATTTCTTTTTTAGTTATATTTGATAATACAATTTGAAGAAAAAAATTAAAATAAATAAAATTAAAATAGTTTATAATTTTTTTAATGAATTAAGGGGTCAATCCAACCCAATTCACAAACTCATTGGGTTGGGTTCAGTTGGAATTTTTGAACCAATGAAGAAATAAGTCCAACCTAACTCAATATTCAGTGAGTTGAAGGTAGATTGAATTGGATTAAATTGGCCCGATTCACAACCATATGAGTAATTTGTCATCATAATCTTGAATAATTAAACATTTAATGAGTTTGTAATGACCTAACAAGTCTCTACATTTACTACATCACATCAATTAAGCAACGAAAAACATAACCATCATCTAACCTAGGATTCTCATACAAGTAGTACCCAAATATAAATGCAATAAGTAAACTTAAAATAATCCTTGTCCATATCAACTTTGAAAACATAAAGTCTCTTAATGGGATTACAACATGTTGCAATTGCAAAAATGAAATGGGATGACGAAAACTTATTAAAAGATAAGAAGTAGTAATCTATGTTTATTTTAAGGAAAAACATTAGAAAAACTGTAAAATAGAAAATGATCTACGAAAACATTTTGAGCTCGAGAGTCGATTTGTGTGTAGAGAAAGTATTAACACTCTATAATACCCATCATAAATGTTGAGAAATTAAGCAAAATTTATTGTAATCATATTTGTGTGAAAAAAAATAAATACGAAATAATAACACAAAAAATTGATAATAAAGTTTGGCTAATTATGCCTATGTTTCCAGGTCGCTACATGTATATTATTGAAAAGGCAAAAATATAAATAATAGTTGCAAATACTCAACTCACAATCCAAATTGACCAAAAAAAACAAAATATTATTTTTTAAACTCATCTTTTCTCTCCCTTTTTCTTTATAGTAATTGGAATTGCATTTTATCGTTATAGGATAGTGTTATTTAAACATTCATGCAAGGTTTTTATTCCTCTCATTTTTGTTCTCTTATGCATTCCTTTAAACCTATTGTTTTCATATTTTTTTCTCAATAAAGGAATATGTGCTTCACATCTCTTTTATTTGCATGACTAAATCCAACAATCTCCCACTTGAAGACTGATTTCAGTATGTCTTCACATCTCGATCAATGTAGCAAGCTTATCTTGTCTTTTATTCTAGTAGGTCAACTAAAGTTAGCACAACTTCAAATTTTCAATGGTTACTACCTTTGTTAACCTTTTTGGTAGGTTCTTACTTACCAGAATCTTTGTCAATGTTAGCACCTCATCTTTAATAAAAGATCTGATGAGGTGATAATAGAGGCCAATGTGCTTTGTTCTAGAATGAAATGCTAAATTATTTGCCAAATGTATCACACTTTAACTATCACTATGCAAAACACTCTTATCCTAGATGAATCTCAACTTTATTAATAGTCCCTAAAGTCATACCCATTCTTTATTGGTTTCTATTACAATTACATACTTAGTTTCTATAGTGGATAAAGTAACAATATTCTATATTTGTGACATCCAACTAACAATTGTAGTACTAATAGTGAAAATGTAACTTACAGTACTTCTTTGGTGTTCGACTTCACCTCCAAAGTCTACATGTACATAGTGTTGTACTTTTAATTCTCCTTTACTAAAGTAGAAACATTTCTTTATAGTGTCTCCCAGGTACCTCAAAATCCACTTAACTGATTCTCAATGAGCTTTACCTAGATTTGACATAAACCTACTAACAACTCCCACTACATGGCCAATGTTTGACCTCATACAAACCATCGAATACATCAAACTTTCGATGGCTAAAGCATACGAAATCTTAGCCATTAACTCTTTCTCCTCCTCTATCTGAGGGGACTAATCCTTAGATAAGCGAAAATGATTGGCCAAAGGTGTGATGACCGACTTGGCATCACCCATGTTAAATCTTTGCAAAATATGATTGATATACTCTGCCTGAGATAATTGCAAAATACCTTTTTTATTATCTCTCTTGATTTTTATTTTGAGGATCCTTTTTGTTAGACCCAAGTCTTTCGTGTCAAATTTTGTTGACAATTGCTGCTTTAAGTTTCTAATCCCATCCATATCTAAACTAGCTACTAACATATCATCAACATAAAGTAGCACAATGATATGACTAGACTTATATCTCTTGAAGAAACAATAGTTTTCATTGTTGCACTTCTGAAAAACTTTCCTTGTGTATGAAGCTTTTGAACTTCTTGTACCACTGTCTTGGAGCTTGTTTCAAGCCATACAAACTTTTCTTCAATCCATACACCATATTCTTTTTCCCTTTTTTTTTTTGAAACCTTTAGGTTGAGGCACATAAATCTCTTCATCTATGTCTCTATGATGAAATGCAGTCTTCACATCTATTTGTTCAAGGTAGAGCCTTTCACTAGCAATGATACTTAAGATTGATCTGATAGTATTAAGCTTCATAATTGGAGCAAAGATTTTAGTGTAATCAAATCCTTCCTTTTGTTAAAATCCTTTAACAACTAATGAAGCTTTATATCTCTTGGAGCCATCATAATCCTC